TCTTAGAGAAAATGTTTAGTTCTGTCATCTTAAAATAAAAGAAATGATAAAATTAACATTTATTTACCTAATTTAATATCATGTAGTCGAATGCTTCCATCATTACACCCAACCTGAAATGTCATTTATTTAAAATTATATTAATGTAATTTGTATTATTAAATTATTATTTATTAAAAATCATACCATAAACAATGGTAAATCATGAGGAGAAATGTCAATACATCTGGCTTCTATAAGCAATTCTGAAATATTTATACTGTATATAAATTCAAATTCTTGCTTTAAAATGATAGTAAATTATTTCTTACCTGAATTTGATATATATAACCTTGGAATTATTTTACTGTTAAATCTAGTGCAATGAATAACAGCACCCTAGCAAAATTTTAAAATGTTTTAAATACAATAAACAGTAAAAAGTAAAAATTGAATTGTCTATTCACTCACTGTATCTGTAGTAATAAGCATATGACTGGAATTTGATGGTACAATTTGAAAATCAAAACTTCTAAAACCAAACTTCATTACATCACCTCTGAAAAAATGAACATAAAAATGTGATTAAATGAATATACTTTGTGATGATTATGCTTTTAAACTGACTTTTTTAGATAATGAACTAAATTCAATTATATTAATAATTCTTATTTTAACAGATAATCATTCAAAATATTTTTTATAAAAATGAAAAGAAACTTTTAAATAAAAAAGCTATTAGGTAGTTCAGTAATTATGATATAATTATGTCAAAAAGGAATCTGATAAGTTAGATTCAATGATATAAAAATATGGAAATACAAGGTCTGTTCAAAAAGTATCGGACCTTTGGTCGGCAAAAATAAATTTATTGATTTTGAGGTACAAAACCCTAATCCCCTTCAAAGTAGTCTCCTTGGTAGTGTATACACTTCTCCCAGCGTTCCTGCCATTGCTGGAAACACTGCTGGAACGCATCTTTTGGAATGGCCATCAGCCGGTCTGTCGCATTCTGCACGATGTCTTCTCTCGACTAAATTCGGGTTTCTTTTAGCGGCATTTTCAGCTTGGGAAATAGCCAAAGGTCCCACGGAGCCATGTGGGGAGAGTACGGAGCATGACGAACCACAGGAGTATTGTGTTTGGCGACGAAAGCC